ATATATATGTATATATATATGGCGAGCAAAAGCTAATAAAACAGCCAGTGAAGTTAAACTGGTTAAGATCGGTAATCATTACGAAAGGTCCCGATGAATAAAGCCACCATGAATTTATTGGGTTACTGGAGCCTGGCAAGTGATTTTCCGACCGAGCAAGACCGATACAGATGGTGACGAAAGTATCGCCAAAAGGAAAGTAGTTTTGTCTGCATGAGAACAACCAGGGTGGCAAGTATCTTTCGTAAGCAGCATGCGTCCGATTTCGCAAGACGCGCTAACATCAGCGGTGCAGACCTACCCCCTTATAGACGATGTTCTCTATGTAAGAATTTAATACAAGAATGATCCGTTTCACAACGTATTCACTCTCTGAGTGGGATCTGCGCTTGATCCATGTACATGCAGTCTTTGGTTTTTTTAAACATTTATCATGAAGTGTTCATACATCGTCTATGCCTTTCCAGGATGTGCAAGTTTCTTCTGATCGAACGGTTGGATCACTGGATTTGGGCGGCGCAAGTACTCAGATCGCCTTTGTCCCATCCCCCGTTCCCACAACCTTGGAGAAGACTGCTGACATGTTTCCGCTGAAGCTTTTCGGAGGCCAATACGACGTCTACAGTCACAGTTTTCTGTGCTATGGAAAGAACGAGGCTGAGCGCCGAGTAATGGGTGCAGCCATCGTAAGTCCTTAAATAGGGTGTGACTCTATGTTGGTGTCGGGAATTATCGACCCTGACTAGTGGAATGTCGATAGTCATGAACAACAGCTGATTTTTCGCCAAAAGTAGAAACAATAGCTGACAGTGCAAAGTCATTTCTTTTTTTTAAGATAAGTAAGCGTGAAGTTGAATAAAGCGGAAGAGAGGGCGAGTGGTTCTGCCCCCTCATCGTCACTCGAGAGTTCGAGTTAAAAGTTGAATGAGTATTCACTGCCGAAGCATAGCGTCCTCAGTGAAAGTATCTATTCTATCTATGGTTGAATACATACAACCATTGGCCAAAAAGTACACCTTTTTCGGGATGACCGTAACACAGACGCTTTGTTATGGTAACAAAAACTAACTAGCCAATCCAGTTTGATTGGAGCAGTCATGTGGAGTTGCCCTCTCAAAAATGAGTAGGTTGGAGGGTTGAACTCAGTGCGCATAGATTTCACACTCAAGATCAAACTTCCAACGCTAAGGGGCTGGGAAACTGAAAATCGTACGAGCATTAGAATTTGTTAGTTTACGCAAAGCGGGGGCGTAAAGGATTTTTTTGAACCGNCAAATCAGGGAACCTTGACTAAAACACAGGAGACCGTTTGTGCTCACTCTAATCTGTCTTTTCGGCATTCTTCCTCGAGATAGGATTGATTGAAAATGAATATTCCAAGAGACTGTAATTTTTAGTCAAAGCTGAGTAAGGTGCCAAGTGTATGGTTGACTTCACTGCTGCCTTACATATATGGGCATTTTGTAACACTGTGACAGAATGGAAGGAATATCTATCAGTAGCCGAATCACCCTGACCACAGATTTACAGCAGTCCTGAAGTTTTCCCTTCATGTAATTCGTCGAGGAACTTATTGTTGTAAGGCATTATTTACTTTTGTCACTATTCTTGGAAAATAACTGATGAACACTTGAGATTTTCTGCCACAAAGGCTATTCAGTTAATTCCATCAAAACCATCGCTGTGTGGAAGCAAAAGTGTTGTTGGTGAAAGTAACTAATCGTTGGACTATTTGAACCACTGGAAGCTTACATAATTTGATTAGACAATTCTGATAAAAACTGATAATACAGACGACATGAAGGTCAACTCAGGGTCAAGGCTACTGAATTGGAAGTTAACGTTTACCCTTCATGACGTAAAATACTCTCCGCTAGTAGATATCATAGGAGAACCACGTGTGTTTCCACGATATTGGACAGCTTTCTCTTACGAAGTCCCTTGCTTTTCCAAAAGCATTGCAGAATGCTGCATCACCTGATATTCTGGTGGCAGGGTTTTGAGCGAAACGGCACATGTCCGCTTCATCACCTTCAGCTGGCGCACACATCCGTATTGCAGTAAGGGATTTTACTCGCATAACGAGGAAGCTTATTTCTTGTTTTAAAACCATACTGAACCTGTAACTTCATGCGTTCGTACTTCACAATTTCGCCAGTGACTATAGCTGTCACTCAGAGATGAGGCCCTTATTTATTGTACGGCTGCGATGACAGTCGTCTTTATCCAGCGATTAAGCTCTTTAAAACCAGTCACAAAAGATTAAATTGCGGTGGTGAGGCCGTATGTCACTTATGCTGTTTGTTCTAAGATGGATCCACATAAAAATAGGGTTACCTATTCGGCCAAGATTGATGAAACTGTCCAGTTTTACAGTCCGTATACTATGATCACGAGAATTCAAGTCCAATGTCGTTGAAACACAAGGTTCACCCTGCAGATGAGGTGCCAAGATGCAGAAATCATACATTTATTAACCTTGAAGTATGCAAATCTTTCATCAAATAAGTCAATGCATGCCATTTTTGCACCCAAAATAGCAACGAAATGGCTGTCAATCTGCAAGACATGTCACCGCGGACTGCGGAGACCATGAGTGGTTAGAGATTACATTTAAATCAAAATGACGATTCCGTGATCTTGTCCCAACCAAGTACGTAAGCAATAACTGAAAACGCACAATGCGCACAATTTGAAGAAGTACCTTACGACTCAACGAAATACGAACGTACTAATAAGCATCAAGGATGATGTTTAAAAAAATCTAATTGCTTATGTTTTTAACTGAAGTGCTGGGCTTATGCATCTGATTAAAAACTATCGTTTTATCGTGAAGGTTTATTTAGAAACACCAATAGTTGATAGGGTATCTGAATGTTTATGGCATTTTTACATTGATGGCATCCAACGGGAAATAAATGAATATAGACAGAAATGGCAGATACAAATTGGGAGGAAATAGAAGGCAGGAGCAAGCGGCTTGGAGAAGACGAACTCATATGAGGCAGGATCAGGCCAACTTTACGCGACTAGTTGAGCTCAAGCTCTTATAGTGCCTGGAACGTTCAGTAGGATGGGCTCATAAAGGCTCTTTTGCTGCTTGATGGTAACCCCGACAAAAGTGAGAATGTGCCTTGCAACGGTTCAGTTATGGCTCTTTGAGTCCAATACTAATAGATAGGAATCTCACGATGTCCCTGAATATGATTTCAGGTTGTTTTACTGTGGTGCTCAAATGGTGCTTAATCTTCAGTGTCAAACAAGATGCATTTCACACACAGGACATCATAAATTGATGCAGATCCTCGGCACTCAACCGATGTCATTCAAGATTACCGTATTCACCAGAGGTACCTGTAAATGGTGGGATGCCCTCATCCATACATGAGCCCCAAGCCGCCATATATAGTTGGGACTGATCCGAGTGTCCATTTGGAAATTCAACAGTGATCTGTCCGTCTACCCCTCCTTTCCACTGAGTAGCCGCTGTAGTCTTGTCACGCCAAAGCAAGTTCGCCAATGAATTTATCTGTGACGCGCCACAAAGAAGTTCCATCAAGGATCCAACCTAGATTACTCTCAAGGTCATAGCATTGCAGCACCGACGGGGCGTCAACCCTAAATCAGTCACCAGAGTCAGTGAAGTGTGTAGTTTGTGTGTTACTCTATATGAACCCGCAGGACTCACGTGCGGATGTTCTGTAAAGACATCGAGATGGGTGTCTAGGTAATGGGTACACGGAATGTGGTAAGAAAGTAACAATCAACTATCAAAAACACGTGTGGAGGTGGAAGAAGCCATGTTTGTGGCGATCTATATTTATTGTACTCAGCTGACTCTTGTTAATTCAAGCTCAGACGGTTCGGTCACTCGCGATGCAAGGAAGGTTGTTTGAAACATTCACGGTCGAACCCTGTTGTTCTGCTTCCCTCCGCCTTGCGCAACAGTGCTACACAAATCTGCAGGGTGAACTGAAATGAAGCGATCAACCAAGGCCCATCTTAGACCCATCGTCGTGTTAACTAAGATCAGTACTTTAACGGTACATTTGAACTTCTCAGATGAATGTAAGCCGTTATCAAACAGTCCACGTAAACCAAGGGATCAGGGACCAGTTCAAATTCATGCATGAACATTCAACCCGTTTCCACGAGCACCTCATTATTTGTCGGTTTTCTATCAGTTTTCCGGTGGATGGTATCGCAAAAGTATTGATGTTGAAGTTGCTCATACACAATAACTGCACATCCTTATAAGAATATTTTCCTCTAGATTAAAAGCTTCGTGAATCACTTCTTGTTTTTCTTATTTGCGATATAAAACACTTTCTGTATAAACTTTGGTAACTAAGCTTTGTGGATTGAGGTTACTTCATTCATTGTTTGGAATTCCAAACATAGCGTCCACTGCTTACTTTCTGATAGTAGCTTTACTATAAATTTGAATAGTTATGCTTTTCACTCGATTGGTTTCACACGGAATAGTAAACTCGAGTCTTTGTAAGCAAATCAAATAGCAACTATGGAAGCAACCAACTGTTTGAGGCTGTGTTTGCTATAAAGCTTGAAAGTTCGTGCGATGAGTGGTGAAGAAGGGATTTATTTTTTATCCTTGGAACAAGAAACAGAATATTTTCCATCTGCTTGGAGACAGAAATATTTTGCTACTGAAGTTTTTTTTGTTTTTATTCAACAGGGCTCATCAATGGGATCCGAAATCTCACATCCATGTCTATTAAGCGGCTACCTATCTGGAGAAATGGACCCAGATAAAATATTCTCCGGACCCTGTATGTCTGGGTCTTATGCCAACAAGGTATTCGGTAAGGAGTACACCAAGCCACCGGTACGTAATGCTAGAAGTTGCCTTGTTTCAGGTTCTGTATGGTACCTCGTTTATAGGAGTCGTGTGTGGTGCGTGGTATCAAGATGTTGCGCCAATGGCCATCTCCTATCATTACACGATTATTCTGATTAGTCCGCAATGCAGCTAGAAAGCACGGAACTCTATTTCTTCTCTAAGTGTGGTTCATCACTGGTGCTTATGCCTGGCGTGCCACAAGCTGGACACTGAGTGTCTGACATGCTAGGCTGGCGCGCCATTACAGCTCAGCAGTTGGCATCTGAATGCAGATCTAGACACGCTTGCAGACCAATGTGTTCAATTTTTAGCGAAATGCCTAGTCTCTTTGAAGCAGCGAAGAGCGATTCAGTAACTGTACTGGTTGCATGAGTGACATGACATGTCCTGTTACGACCTGTCATTGAAATATTTCCGAGGAAGTGAATATAACTTCCACGAAGCCTGCGACAATCCTCAACCACTGTGGGGACGAAGTATATTTCAGTGCATTAAGTGATCATGATTCTCGCTCCTCAGATGGTACAGCTACCAGTTTTGCAACTGTGATAAAATGTTCTCACCATAAGAACATAAATGACACCTAACGGTTTCCAACTACAGAAGGGGAGGACGTCTAGCATGAGTTTGTTTATGATTTTATGCTAAAATGCTTTAGGTGCCGGTGTGTATTAATCTTAGGTACATCTAACTTCGAAGAAGGAACAACGTATGCTATCATTCCTATTAAAAAGCATCAGCCATAACAGCACTGGCTCTATGGCCACCAACAATTGTATCGGAAATTCGAGTTATGAAACCTACAGTGAGATTATCTCAACATAGAGAAATATCGAAGAATTCGGACTGCATTAGAACATCAAAGTCAGATATTGGCCACAGGAAACAACGTTACCAAACGCGGAATTGCGGCACAGCACGGACTGAAAAGTTTTCAAACTAGCTGGCAAATCTAATATGATATAAACCTACTGGAATACTGGGTTAAGAAAAGACTCTTGAATAACTCAGGCAGGGGAAAAAAGGAAATATCACATGGTACATCTGATGATCTGCGAGTAAGTGGGTGATCCGTACAGTGTACACACTTGCACCGCAAATTCGGACACCAAAGTTTTGGACGAAGAATCACAATGTTGCCGAACGGTCCTTGTTAGATAAACTGCACTTCCAGCGGCAAACATTCGAGCGGATGAGTTAGGATCGGCTGTTCATTACACTAAGCCTGTTTGGGTTTGGATATCTTATGGAATGGGATCCTTTGTTCTGTTAAACGCCAAATTAAAAATCAAACCGTGAAAAACAACTTAGTGTCAATTTTTCCGTTCAATCCCTCGCAGCAACTCACCAAATTCAAATTCAAAGGAACAGGCAACTTGGATACCTGCAAAGACCTAATTTCTAAGCAATTTAAGAAGGACAATTGCACGATTCCTCCATGCTCGTTCAACAATGTATTCCAGCCACCTGTGGTTGGCGAATTCCGAGTAAGTTGAACTTCTGGTATCCTGTAATTATTGCTGTGTACATAATTATGCATGCATGTATGCGCCTTGATTCCGCTAGGTGAAATAATGGAGAAGTCCACGGGTCATTAACAATTCACTCAATCAAAATTGCAGCGGTAGATCTCCGCGGGAAAGTGTATTTTCAAGCACGAGGCTCATAAGTAAAACTTAAATTTTCCAAAAATTCCGTATAACTTTCAACCGCACCTCGTGAGTCTCTCATATTTTCCACTTGGCTTGCTGTCAAAGGAATTTTCAGAGTCTGAGGCAGAAATTGCACTTTTTATATTCAATGCTTAAGGCGCTTACTTTGAAACAGAAATGTTGATCTTCAAGCTGAAAACTATCTACCTAATAGTAAACTATGGTAATGAAATAGGACCAAAATGGTAGTAATCGAAAAGTCCGGAGCCCGGCGACTGCTAGTGAGATAGGCACTTTTGTGAAACATTTCGCTTACTGCATTCCTGTGAACTGAGTGGAAATACTTTGCGAGACCTCAGAAGGCAATAATGACTTGTTGTTGCACTTTAACTCCGTCAAAAATTCCAGGAGCTACTGATCAGTTGGCAACCGTTTTTCCCTATTGAAAACAATCATATTCACAAGGAGTTTTAGTGAGCAAAAGAATTTCTACCTGCCAAGATTGGAGAAAAGATGATGGAGCGGATGGTGTGGCTGATTTTAAAAAGATTAATAAGGATAATTTGTGTTCATCTCTCTTAATAAAAATGTATCATCAACTTCACCAAATGCTTCTAGCCAGATTGAGTTTAAACGGGGCTTTCACACAGGCCAATACATTACTGATGACTTACATAGGACACGATAAATCTGATGCAAAACCCATAGTATTGAGTAGTACACAGTGCGACAGTTTGCACAGGTTTGCAGACCAGACTGGCAGTCGCTTGAATTGCACGCTAGAAAACATGGTGACTGCTTTGACATTTACAAGAAACATGCCAATCAGGCGGAGTCATTCTCAATGGAAAGGTTCCGCGGCTGCAGTGGTTTAGGCTTGAGTGTTCCGAAATCCAGGATAACTTTCTCATATTTATGCGAACAGTCAAACATCTTGATAAGCATAAGACTGCGCAGTCTTTGCTAACGGTTATATGCTATTGTCAACTGAGCAGCTCGGCGAAAATCTTCATGCCTGGTGTGCATGAGTATCATCATGACAAAATCCGGGCAAATGAGCTTCGTTGTCACCTCTGTCCGACAAACAAATATTGATAAGCATGCATCGGTAACGAGCGCGCTGAGACCAACCCATTTTGTCTACACGGAGAGGACAGTGGTGACCAATAGCTGCGTGGCGTTTGGGAAAGTAGCATGCCGATGGAGTCATTCACGGTAATATGATGATGTCGTTGTGGGGTACTTATGGTGGATTGCCATCAATCGAGAAAAGCGTTGTTTCCCTTAACTGGCGGTGGGTAGGATTTGACTTAGTCAAAGGGAATGAAGGTTACAAAAAGTCTGTTTGTTTGCTTGCCTGGACTAGGGCGGAAAGAGAGCTAGTCGATATCGCCACTATTCTTGCTGGCAGTTTCATTTGCGATTGTCTCACTAAGTGTTGGAGGATGTTTCCTTATTTATTATATACGGTTTTATATCAAAAAAGAAACCCACAAGGCTGTATAGCAGCGATGCACCAGAAAGCTGCTATGGTGTTGACACCACTGACGATGATGATAGGCGTTGCAAGCATGACAAATAGAATCGACGTCTTTATAAAATTCCTTGTTGCACATAGATCGCCCCAATTACCATATCTTATGCATCTTCTCATGATTGCTCTACCAGGCTGCTGGACGAGAACGCTATTCCACAAGAAAAAGATTTCTCTGTAAGGCCTTTCCTTCAAAAGGCTCACATATGTCTTCCCAAATAAACGTTTTTTTCATTTTGTTCATGTTCTCAGGCGTATGCTGGATTCTCCTACGTCGCAAAATATCTATTCTCTAGTCGGTCAACCGGAATATCAAAAACAGAGTTCGGCGAAAAAGTGAAGGAGTTCTGTACTCAACCATGGCAAACTGTGAGTTGCCGTATTCATATGAGGATTTTCGTTATGATGCTCAAACGCAGCTCTTTTACAGTACATAGCTAAACATTCTGTTGTTGTAAGCATTCTTCCAGGAATAGTAAATTACAGTTTTGTCGTCAGGGGAATTAAACTCACCAAACATCACTCCTGAATAAATACTTGGTGGTCCGGAATGGATTATTCAAATGCATTTAGTATGCCTTGGTTGAATAGCGATACTACCACTGGAATTCAAATGCTGGCGCACATGCTCCTGATAAGTAAACCGTCGAAACAATGATTTGTTCTTTGATGTCGACCAGCCAGAGTAATTGCGCACAAGTCCGAGGAAAACTATCTAGAGAGTAGTGTTCTAGAAATTTCAGGTTCAATTGGAGTTCATTTTATCGAAAATATCATCAGAAGCAACCTTCTATATAGCGGGATTTATTCAACAGTCTTCGCAACCGAATCCGTGCATCTGTTTTACTAAGATAAGTTCCCCATCCATCATCCATTTACAACTAACCTAATGCGCTAATACGAGAGCTCTCTGTCCTGTTAGGAATTCAACACAGTTGCTCTCTGACTTTCACCGACACGTGTAAACCCGACATCAGTCCACAAAACTGGAAGCGCGTTTGGTGGTCCTGAGGCCAAAGCATTCCTGGACCGCACACTCATTTAACTGCCTGTATCACAGACTATTTGCACCAACGATATTTTAAACACCACATGATTATGCTATTAACACACCAGCCTATCTGGTTAGTTATTCAATTTAGCGGATAACTCAGTTGTTAAAGTGCAGATTTACTGATCGGAAGGTCGTGGTTCGAACCCGACCTCTGCCACTCGACTTACATTGCCTGGGCTTGGGCAGCCTCCCAGTCATCATGCTTCCTTCTGGTGGCATGGCAGTTAGGCACGAAAACGGTGCCACATGTGAACGTTTTTTAGTTGAAAATGAAAGTACAATATCACCGACAAAAATCCAAAGTAACTGAAGGGTCAGGTGGTAATTTTCGGGATTCAGACCACTCTTTATCAGTGTCCTGTTTTAGACTGAACATTTATGAAAGTGACCAAATGATTCGATTTAAAAAACCGTTTTCTGTGAGGAAGTTGTGATGCTTAAAACATATATGACATGTTTTCCGCGAAGGATTTGTTTCTGTTGTTTTGCTTCCAACACCTCTTACAAAAAGCAAGAGGAGATTACGTTTTCCATAGATATATGTACATCTACCATTTAGAATCTGAACACAAATTTTGGGCACTTTTAGTCTGTCTTTGAATGACTGCAAATAATAGGTCCTGACCCTCACTTCGCATCACCACAGTGATCTCATCAACATCTGCAAGAATGGACATGCTTTATGTGATTTCTAAATGTCTTCAAATTAGTTTACACATGGGCTATGGGCTAGCATCCCTGAAATAAAAGCAATGGTTGTGTACGGTGGAATGCATGCTGAAATAAAACAACTTAAATTTGACCTCCGGATTCACCAAAGGCTCACAAAAGTAGGATGCGCGTAAAAACGAGTAGAAGGCTAGCCGATCCTAGCTATTATCTCATCCTGACCCGCAATTACCGACCCAGGCTAACAGGAGCTGCACGTGACCCAAAAATTGAGTCTTACCAGCGGGTCATTCCCCCTCATGTTTGGAAGTTGATCAGCCTTACAAAACTTCTCGTAAAACAGCTGCACCCATTCGCGAAATTCATCCACATTTTTTCAATATTGTTTAAACATAGTCCCAAATAGGTTTCGAGTTTTTCCCGACTGCTCCCACTAAAGGGTTTAGTGGAGTGACAGGGCGACCTTGTTTGCTGGTCTCATCTGATGTTCATATGGCTACAGGTCATCCGTGTCAAAGGCTGTGGGCGAAAAACTTATCTGAAGGTCCTGGGAAGGGCAGAAACTTGAACCGACCACTCTGCCTGCTTGGTAACAGCTTTTGTGGTGTTGGTTTTGTAGCCAGCCTCTCTTCTAACTAATGAGGAACGTGTATTTTCCGTTATTCACACTAGTGAGCCAAAGAAGTGTTGGATCACCACTTTTCTCGATGGTCACTTATTAATTACTGCAATAAGAATTATGGACTAGGCCGTTTAAAGAACCAACACGACCGGACGGTTATTCAAATGTCAGTTCCTCACACTCAAGCTATTGAAACCTTTTGTTGTTACAATATTTTCAGGACAGATCTATCCCAAATGCAAGGTTTGCATCAATAAGCGCGTTACCCCATTCCTTTAATGCCAGGAGGGGATGTGCGAGCCAACCTTCTTGGACGGATCCCAAGTGACCCAGTTTTCAATAGACCGTACGGTCCTATAACACGTCAGTCTGTGGTTGGACTTTTGCATCGGAATGGTACATCTGAAGTGATCTGAAATATATTCTAAGCTACCAGCACCCTAAATAGACAAAACGCTTTAACGACATTTGGTGTGAAACTTAGGCCCAATTGCCAATCCAAGTGGTAGACACAATCAACAAGAGCAGTTGGCGGTCCAAAACCAAAGAGAATTTCGAGCCCCAGATAACAGCTAAATAGGCACGGTTACCACTGTGATCCATTTATTTAGCTTTACGGACAAACAAATCAAGTTCACAGCTTACCAACCTAATTAGCTCGAAATTTGTGCTACTCTGGCAAGCAACAATGTGGGGACGCATATTCCGTATGAGCATGCATCCGCACGATTTTTCACTTTGTGCCCAGCAGCTTCTCTGTCCACTAATTCAAACCATCGATCAAGTTTAAATACAAACCATTTCAATATGCTAAACATGTTGTGCAACACGCACAAAATTCAGAGACCAGCAATTACGAAATCAGGCCTACTGTTTTTAGGCGAGTCAACAACTAATAAGTGCAGATGTGGATATTTCCACCCGAATAATATCAACTTCTTTGATCCAGGTCATAATTCTGATGCTTTCTGTTTCATTCTGGCACAAGTTTGAATAAATGCGGAACAGTCATTCGTTGGTGAAGTCTAACATGTTCAGGTTCGCTATCAGGGATGGGGTATCAACAACTCCGGGGAATTTGAGGCCTCCATAGGGAGATATCCCTGGTGATTTCACGTTTCTTGGCCCAAGTAGATTATTGCCCAAGCGTCCAAAAAACCAAGCAACCCGCTCTATTACTAAAAAAATCGTATTGTGTATTTTTCCTCAGTTACCGCTCTAGAGTCGATTGCAGATACCCACGACTTTTATGAAACTAGTGCTTTCTGAGCAACATGATTGATTGTAGCTGACAGAATCGGTCCGCAACCAATCTTCTTCCACAGTGCGCAAAGTTTTCTGGAAATATTTGCTATTGATCCGACATCAGTGTCCAGCTTTTGGTAGAGACTGATAGTTCCGGGAGAATACAAGCAGTTAAAAAATGGAGGAAAGAGGGGAACATCGATGTCTTCCACTATCAAACATTTCATAACCTCCCAAGAGCCGCACGTACACTCAAAGTACAATTAAAGTAATAAACAGATACTCATCTCTGCTGTATGCGCTTGAGGAAGCTGCTTGCAGAAACAGTGAAGCCTCTTGCAAATCATCACCAAGGATTGCTTTCTCATGTCAATTTTTGCGATGGCAAACCAGAATTATGTGTCCGTTTTGATATATCTTCTTGTGTCTCTTTTTTACTGGATTAGTTGCGAAAACGTGCCTGCTAAATATGGTGCCTCGTTTTTACTCTTATGTCCAGATTGCAGCAAAAACCCCACCTGAAGAACAGGAATCTGTCGCGAAATATTGCTTCGACGGTGTATTCGTCTCTGTTTTGCTTCAAAACTACGGTTTTACGGAGGATGAGGAGTGGAAAAAAATCACATTCGGAGACAAGGTATCCGAATTTGAGATTTCGTAACGTATATACATAGAACCTGATATGATTACTTTTGGAAGCTGTTCCTTTGACACCAGGGATATCCACACATTTGAATAATTTGTACTCTGAGCTACTCAGGAATAATAGCCAAGTGTTTCAAACGTGTACAGCACCAAAGCATGATTCTGATTCTCGGAAAACTCGACCGAGAAACCAAAGCTGTGATCAACATCCACTCAGTACTTATGACTAATAAGCTGAACTTCAAAATAATATATTTACTGGAGCCCTGAAAATCTGGTCTGATTTCAACACCACTCAGGACTAAGGTAATGGGCGGTGATCTCCATCCATGCAGGTCTACTTATTAGGGGGTGAATCAAAGTGTACAAAGTTTCCTAATGGTCTGCCGCGCCAAGCAAGATATTGTGATTATTCAATCTTTGTTTGTAGCCGCAAATATTACAATGATGTACTGTACTATCAAAGTTACTAGGCTACAAGGTGATGGCCAGCATTTGATATGGTGTCCAGCAAAGTGAATGACTGGTAAATGTTAGTCCATTACTTGGTCGCTTTTTTCAGACTTGGTACACTGCCCGCATTGGTTAAAGATGGATTCATCCTCTTCTAATAGAAAATAGAGACATCGGGGCTTTTGAGTAGTCCGTTCTTGGTCTCTTCGAGAGAGGCAAAGTCGATCTGTTTCGAAGCACGGTAACGAAGGAAAGAAGTCTCACAAGCGGACAATAGATCGCTGTCCGTAAGTTGCGTTTGCTTGAGTCTATACGGTTCGTAGCTCTGACACCATCAAAGACAAGTTTTATGACTCCAGAAATGTCCTGTTGCGACCGGCTAGTAGCTCAGATGTCGTAATGGTTGCCGGTGACCTGATTACGCAAATGGGTAAGCTTAGTGCATATGAGACCGGAGTAGGTAGTCGGCCTGGATTGAATTTGGTACTTACGGACGACGGCAGAGAATTGCTTCAGCTGTGTGCTAACCGTAGACTGTTTTTGTGCAGCATCAACTTCGAAATAAGCGAATTAATCTGGCCACATTATGTCCTCTGACAGCATGCCAGCCACGAACCCAAACTAATCACATTGCCATTATCTACCGACGGCTTGAATCTACTGACTGCCGCTCGTTTTGATCCACACTCGTAGATTCCGATCACGTCCCTTCGTTTTCCAGGGCCGCGTGAGGTGCGAACAAATTGCTTAGTAACTGAGAGAGTGACAAATCCGGGAGTTAGAAAAATTTGTTGAAATCATCTGAGATCTCTTCCTACTACTCCAGCAGTAGCTCTGACTTCGTACAAGAACGAGACCGTCACATCTTTGCAAAATACTAGGAGTGTTGGCTGTGGCACGCTGTTTTCAGGCCCACTCAAGCACTGGATATCAGATCAAAGAATGGTGCTGCTTGAGTCTCGGAGGAGTGTTTCCGCCGATCCAAGCGAATCATGAGATGTCAAGTAAAGGTGAGCGTGCACGCCGATCCTATTTTCAAAAAGGAGCCCGTATTGAGTGTGGTGACCACAAGGAATCAGTTAGACCACGGTCATGTCGAGACTGCTGGTGTCACTTGTGCTTAGCCACCCAAAGGCGGCTCGTAGAATACTGTTTCGAGAGCAGCAAGCGAGAGGATGCGTTGTCCAAACCCCTACATTCGGTCAGCTGCTAGAACAACGCCGTACGTACAAACGACCCACAATTTCAGTATTCCTTGGTTTCCGAGACGCATTCGACTTAGCTGACCCGACTTTTCTTCTCTTCCTCTGTTCTCCTTGCCACGCTTGCCCATCATGGAATTTCCTAAAAGTCCTTCAACATATGTTCATTATGAATTCAAACTTTCGCACGTGTGAGAGTAAACGGAGAGCTCTTCAAAAGCTTCCGTACACAAAGCAGTGTCCGTCTGGGTTGCCCATTCTCTCCATTTCGTGATCAGTGAATTAATTAGGCAATTACTAGAAAGCCTTCAAAACTCAGGTGGCCAGATAGTCCCTGACGAAATTTTCATCGACCTCACTCGTTCTCTTCTTCAAAGAAAAGAGGGCGCGAGCGTTTTCGGAAGATCTGACTAGTGTTAGCCCGTCCTTCGACATGCGCTCTGCATCCACAAAGTGCAAGGAATTCTCTTGGAAATGCTGTCACATCACTGTCACACATCACTTACAATTTAGAGAAAGGTACTAGAAGTTGTGAAGCGTTTCGCATGTCTTGAAAGCTATATTCGTTCCGACTTTAGTGTGAGAGGTTGGTGAACGAATTTGCAAGACTCGGGTCGCTAATTTGAGGCACCTATGTCGTCAAAGCGGTATAGCCCTAAATCTCAAGTGGCGTGTGAATCGGGCCACAGTGCGGGTTGTTTTGTTGTATGGGTGTCAGACTTGGCCTGTTCGAGCGGCCGAACTAGGACGTCTTCATGTGCTCAAAAATCGTCTCAGGACTATATATGGTGTGTTGGTGCCGGCAATTAGAAAGCGAGTTTTCGGTTGTGCAATGGGGACTTACCTCGGGAAATGCGTCCATCAACGGACTTTGTGTTGGTTAGACTACGTACTGCGCATGACGAATCATCGTTTGCCAAAATATTGTTTCCCCGTCCAATTCGGAGTGACGGAAGCAGAGAGGTGGGCAACCTTTAGCCTGGCACAAGGATGTGAAGGCGAATAAGAGAATTGTCAGTGTAATTGGTACTATTCACCTTCTAGGATGGAGACCGCGTGATTCCCTTGTGCCTCTTTGGGAATGCTTCAAGATCTGACTGCCAATCGATGTCAGTAACGTTCCTGTCGTCAGTTCCTATCCAGATTGCCTGAATGAGTGTCCGGATGTGTAGTAAACTCGTAATGATTGTGTTACGCTTGCTCTAACTCCCTTCCCGTCCACTCTTATTCTATTCTTTGCACTAAGGTTTTCAAATAATTTACGGCAGCGAAGCACTTTTGTTGAGCACTGATGCTATGCTGTCGACGATGGTGATGATGATGTAACTGAAGGCCAACGTGGCTTGTAACTGACAGAACTGAATCAACAAAATCATAATCCACCTATTCAGTACATGCCCCAGTCTGTGATGTGCGTACAGTTCACTCGAAAATATCTGAGTTGATTTATCATGACGAGTGTCAATATCGTCCCAGCCAAATCATCTAACTAGGCGTAGATCAAAGTTTCTTATCAGTTGTCAAGTGGATTGGGAGATCAGTCCTTACACAGTAAAATCCCGAATACTCGGTTCTGATATTTCTTACGGGAAATGTAACAGGGTGAAAATGGACTGTTCATTAGCGTTTGGCTGGATAGAGAATTATGAGTGAAGCCGATAAGCGTGTTGGATCAGCCCATCACGACGGGGATAACAGCAACGCATCATTGGACAGGAAATATGAACAGGAATAAAATTTAAATAGTCGAAATGAGGAAATTGTAGAGGTATAGTTTAATGAGTGTCCGTTATAGGATTAACCACTTTGCCCTCTAATCATTAAAGAAACGTAAAATTTGTATTTTTCTTCAAATTCCTTACTAACTTTGTTTGAATTGAGTGAATAGGGACGGACTACTGTACATACATTAGGAGTGAAGCCGATAAGCGTGTTGGATCAGCCCATCACGACGGGGATAACAGCAACGCATCATTGGACAGGAAATATGAACAGGAATAAAATTTAAATAGTCGAAATGAGGAAATTGTAGAGGTATAGTTTAATGAGTGTCCGTTATAGGATTAACCACTTTGCCCTCTAATCATTAAAGAAACGTAAAAT